ATCACCTGAAACATGGAGATTTCATATTTCCCGGGAAAGTGTTTACACGATCTTTTGGCCGGGATTTTCAAAAAATTTTAAATTCAAATTTTCGGGAAAATCAAAATAAATTTTTATACGACCTCTTGGCACAACTCACGCGATATAAGAGTTCAAATCCAAGTTTCAGAATTTAAAAATCTAAGAGTCATAAGGTCACAGTACAAGAGTCTGAATAGCAAAGTCAAAATCGAATGTTCCAAATATAAGGGTCGCAAGGATCAAAGTTTAAGGGTCATGAGGATCATAGTACAAGGGCTTGAATATAAGGGTCAAAATCCAAGGTTTCGATTTTAAGGATCACAAGGGTCAAAATTTATGGGTCATAAGATTCAAACGACAATTGTCAGAATATGAGGATCAAATTTTAAAGTTTCAAATGGAAGGGTCACACGGCTCAAATTCTAAGGGTAATAAGGGTCAAAATACAGTATCTGAATATCGAAGTCAAAATCGAAGGTTCAAAATTTAAGGGTGGCAAGGGTCAAAATTTAAGGGCCATAAGTCTCAAAATATAAGGATGAATATCAAAGTCAAAATCGAAAGTTCAAAATTTTAGGGTCGCAAGGGTCAAAATTCAATGGTCATAAGAGTCAAACGATAATTGTCTGAATATAAGGGTCAAATTCTAAGGTTTCAAATTGAAGGGTCACAATGGTCAAATTCTAAGGGTCATGAGGGTGAAAGTACAAGGGCCTGAATATAAGGATGAAAATCCAAGGTTCCGATTGTAAGGGTCACAAAGGTAAAAATCTAAGCGTCATAAGGGTCAACACACAAGCGTTTGCACACTAGGGTCAAAATCTACACGAAGAGAAATATTCAATAAAAATTACCTATCTTTTCCGTAATTCCGGAGCGAAATGTGGTGATAGGAAATTTTACGGAACTGTCACGGAATATTTCCAGAGCGTTCCGTAATTTTTATCTGAATCTCCTGTGAAAAATTACGATACCGTCACTTAAATTTTCTGAGTCGATTCCGTAATCGGTGATATGAGCGAACTTCGAGTTCCGTAATTTTTACTGAACATCTCTCTCCGTGTATGGTACAGAATTTAAGAATCACTAGGATCAAAATCCAAGGGTCATAGGGTCAAAATACAACGATCTGAACATGAGGGTCAAAGTATAAAGCTTCGAATTTGAGGTTCACAAGGGTCAAAATCTGAGAGTCATAAGGGTCAAAATACAAGGGTTTGAATATCAAAGTCAAAATCGAAAGTTAAAATTTTTAGGGTCGCAAGGGTTAAAATTTAAGGGTCATAAGTGTCAAACAATAATTTTCTCAATATAAGGGTAAAATTTTAAGGTTTCAAATTTAAGGGTCACAAAGGTCAGATTCTAAGCTTCATGAGCGTCAAAGTACAAAGACCTGAATATAAGCGTTAAAATCTAGAGTGCCGACTTTAAGGGTCGCAAGGGTCAAAATCTAAGGGTCATAGGGGTCAAAAAACAAGGATCTGAATATAAGGGTCAAAATCTAAGACTTCGAATTGAAGGGTCACATGAATCAAAATCTAGAGTCATAAGGGTCTAAATATTTGAATATCCAAGTTAAAATTGAAGGTTCAAAATTTTAGGGTCGCAAGGGTCAATATTTAAGGGTCATAAGGGTCAAATGACAATCGTCTGAATATAAGGGTTAAGTTTTAAGGTTTAAAATTTAAGGGTCACAAGGGTCAAATTTTAGGGACACAGGGGTCAAATTCGAAGGGTCATGAGGGTCAAAATAATATAATGATCAAAATCCAAGGTTTTGATTGTAAGGGTCAGAAGGGTCAAAATCTAAAGCTCATAAGGGTCCAAAGGCATGTGTCTGAATATAAGGATCAAAATCTACGGCTCATAACGGTCCAAACGCATGTGTCTGAATATAAGGGTCAAAATCTAAGGTTCGGAATTTAAGGGTCACAAGGGTCAAAATACAACCGTCAAAATATAAGGGTCTGAATATAATGGTCAAAATCTAAAGTTCAAAATATGAGGTTCTGAATATAAAGGTCAAAATCTACAAGTTAAAATATAAAGGTTAAAATTCTGAGGTCAAAATCGAAGGATCAGAATTTAAGGGCCATAAGGGTCAAAATTTAAGGGTCCGAAAATGAAGGTCAGAAGGAGTTAGGATTGAACACTTCCCCTCCCCTGCCGCTGCGACAATCAGCATTGAATAATCGAAAATAATAGCAATCAGATCGATGAACGGTCTTAGATTTTAAGATCAATTTCAGTATATTGGATTATGTGTAGGAATACTCAATAAAAACACATTAGTTTTATTCTTCAAAGTAAAACTCTTTAATGATCGCACGCAGAAGGTATATCTTTCTCCAACGAAGTCTCTAGGACGACTAACTAAAAGTCATGAGAGTTTTCACTCTCTGGACCCATTTGACAAAAGGCCCTTGTTTCAATTTTCTTCAGCCTCTCCTTTGTGACTCACCATGAGGACTGTTTTTCTTCACGTCTCTATTTTCTAAGAAAAGCCATAAATGTCACCCTGAGTGTTTGGGTGGAAAAGAGAAAATGTTTAACTAAACTAAGAAATTAATTTTTGTATTCAGGCATGAATTCCAACACAGTACTTAAAAATCCGGACACTCTGGTCTTACGATTCGGACGTATCGGTCTTAGAATAAGACCGGAGTTTTTGCAGTATACCGATTGAACACAAACTCAACGAGAATGTTTCTATTCATAATCATTTTCGTAGAGAAATTATTTCAGACTTTAATCTTCAAAATTCAAGTTATATTCATACTACTTTAAGGATGCCCTTTCGTGTTGGATAAAAAAATCAATAAATTTTGAAGCCTTTTGAAATGAACACCAATATGACGATCTTCCCGAGTGCCCATCTCACTCACATTGACCCTAAGCAACACCATTGACTACTGGAAATAGCTAAAGAGTAATCAAGCTTCAGAGTATTCCATTTGAACCCATGATCCACTTTACCTCGCCCTCCATTACACCCCGTTCTCCTCCATTATCAAAATTATAATAACGTTATAATTGGATAATTCCGGAGTCCACGTTATATAACACTAGTTTTAAAAGACGCTAAAAATTTATAAGGTTAATAAGCTTAATAATTGGTAATGGAATTTTCATTACCAATTATCATCACTATTCGTCGATTATCCCAAATCGATACTACATCCTAATAAATAAATAAATATAATAAATACTCGAAATTTTTTTGAACAAATCCTAATACCTATGACCACTCCCAAAGTGAACAATAGTATCTATCATCACTCTTCGTGTCCGTCAGACGCCGTTTAGAGACACTGTGAAAAAAAATTAGCTTCGTCATACAGTCGAAAAAACTTTTTTGTGATACCTGCGTGAAAAGTGCATTTTTCGGAACCGTTTAGTGTGCGTAAAGTAGGTATTTTCCACACGGCGTGTGTAAAGTTCATGAGCGTGCGTAACGTGAATTTCGAGTTCGTAAAGCGAAGCTCGTGTACAAAAACAACTCCTTTACCCCCACTACCGTGAACTCGGCAGGTATCACGAAAAATAGGATGTGTTACATGTGCGTGCGAAAAAGTGGATTCTTCTGTACTAGTAACACGAATCCTATTTTTTGGAATACCTGCCTGGAAAGTGCACTTTTCAAAACGGTTGTGCGCACGTCGAGCGTAAAAACCACCACTTCACTCCCACAACCGTTCCGAACAGTAAACTCGGTAGATATCACAAAAAATAGGATGTATTGCACGTGCGTGCGAAAAAGTGGATTTGTATGCACTAGTAACACAATATACTATTACGCACTAATATATCACCCGGCATTAATATATTTCCCGTTATTTGACCCGCAGGAGCTGTGTAGTGCGCGCCGAAGGCGAGTGCTATCCTCCCAAGGGTCAAAGAACCCTTTTCCTACGAGTGTCGAACCCTATTTTTCATGACAATGTGTGGAAAGCTGAATTTTGCGCATGCGAAGCGTGTGTAAAATTTTACTTTACGCTTGAGTGATGAAAATATATTATTCTAGCTCATATGATTGGAAACTCATATTCGCCAGAAAAGTTTCTTTCAGCCTAGTGACGAAAATAGTATATTTCGATACGAGTGAGACGGAATTTTCACAAGTGAAGTTGGCGGTCTGAGTTGATGTCGAGGACTACCAATCACACGAGCTGAAAATACTTTTATATGATACGTGCGTGTAACCGCATGGGTTTCAGTTGACTATAGTCAACTGNATAATTCCTGATAGTGATGAAGAGTTAGGCAGTGAGGAGAATTTATTTACTGATGAGGAGGAGTTTATTGGTGATGTGACATTTGAAGAAAATGGAAATAAAATATTCTCCGATTTTTCAATTACGTTTTATATCATATTTTTTTATAATTATAACTTTCTTTTTTTTGCGAATTCTTAATGATTTTTAAAAATTGTATTTTGTAATTATTATAATTAATTTTTTTCAATTAAAAATACTTTACAAGTTTTTTGAACTACATATTTAATGAATATAATTAATTTTTTTTTCAGAACCGCATCATTTTTAAATCACCCTTTTTTATAATTATTTTTTTAAATAAATGTGATCTTTTTTCATCAGTGGGGGGGGTTCGCCCCCCCCCCCCACCGGGGGCTTCGCCCCCTGGACCCCCTTTTCGTAATGTACTATTACTTTTTCGCACACCGTGATGAAAATTATTTTTTATCCCGACATCCGTCGTCAGGCATTCACAGACGCGAAGCTGATGAAAGTCAACAAGAACGTCCCACAAAAAATACATAATGAATCCCGCTAGAACTAGCGGCTCACAAAATTCATTTTCCTAATCGTCTCTCACCTTTATCAATCCCGCACCTTACTCCTCTCAATTCAAACACTACCACCTCGACCCGCCATTGGTCAGTCCGACAGGCGCACTGTGGTAGGGATTGGAGCGCACAATCTAAGCCCCTCGACAGTAAACGAGTTGAAGCGGCCAGCTGTGTGCCACCGTACGGCGATATAAGCGGTTCACTTATAAAACCCCTCTCCTAAAATCGACAAATCCATTATTTATATTTATCCCCTAATCAATTAACCCACCCGACACTCAACACACCAAAACTCCAAATAAATCTCGCAATGTAAACAGAATCATGAAACCGACCAATTCAAAACTCTTCTCGCGCTTCAGAATTACCCACGAAATTTACCTGTGCAGTGTTTGTGAGTTTGTGTGAAACGTATTAACGGAGAGAGATAAAAAGAGAGAGAGGTGAAAAACCGGACTTATGACTTGTGCGTGAGAAACGTGAATAATTTTTTTTTATCAACTTTTTCCTCGTTTTCCTCTAGTCCATATGTAGTTAGTTTTGTATTTACCATATCTGGATACTCGGTGCGCGGGGCGCAATGACAACGAGGGAGCTTTACGTCAAGGTAAAACATTGCTGACCTACATTGAATTGAACATCGAATTCACATACGTGAGAATTGTTGGATAAAAGGGGAATTGGAGATGACGAAACCGAGACGTTCGATTCTCAATTTTCTCATTTATTTTTGCTCCATCGCTCTCATTGGGGTTCTTTCCTCACGGCCGAAGGGGTTGTCCGAGGTCATATGGCGTCGATAGCGTGCACTAGTCGTTGAATACTCCGAAAGACTTCATTATATACAGAACCAAAAACGGAACCAATTGAATTTTCACGAATCGTTCGATTGCGATTATTCACGGTAAAATATTATGATTTACGTGACTGTATGAATAACTTGGAGTGCAGGACTTGTCCACACAACATTAGTCATTCCCTTTCAACACCTGAATATTCATTTCTCGGTATTCTTCGTTTTGAAAACAGTGAGCTTTCGCTCTTTTACTCGATTTCAATCTACATGGCTTCTTCACCCTTACTCTACCACTTAATACAACTCTACGAGATCTATTCTCACGTAATTATACATGGCGCTTATTGACTCGTGAGAATTTTCTTGGTTCGTCCCATCTAATGCAGTTGGGGGAATTAATTTAATTATGAAATACCGCATTGATTCGATTTTTTTAAAGATTTGTGTGGAATTGTTGGGGAGTTTTCATTGACTTGAAATTTCACGCGGATCTGGCGCTTGTACGTCAGTGTGATTATTCAAAAAGTCTGTGCGGCCTCTACTCGTCGCTTGTGATAAGATTACTTTGCTATATATGTTGTACATTAGTCAGTTACACTTTTATCTGGAAAAATACGAGGGAAATGGCCGCAATGAAGCCCACGATGTTTCCACTGATGTTTAAACTCTTGGAATGAATGAATACATATCGCGTGATTTTAATAATACATAGTGTTTCGCAATGGCAACACAATGCAATCGAAATTTTACCACTGTTAACAAAAATTTGGCTTAAATTTCTGTTACACTTCTTGGAAATTTTTATCATATAGGTTTACTGAAATTTCAAGATATTTTAGCATTTGGAATCCATAATTTTGTGGAAAATTGGGGAGAGGTGAGGTGAAATGGACACTTTCAACTTTTTTTTCCAATGTTCGTGCACTGTTAGCAAAAAATGAAATTTCATGGACAGTTGGCTACTAATTTTCGGGACAGTGGTATTGAATGCGATTTAGGGAAAAAAAATAAGGAAATTTCTGGTTTCACTGAAAATTCTGCAAAATTTCAGAATTTTAAGCAGCATAAAGACGGGAGTTCCTTAATTTATTGGAATTTCCAATCTAATATGAATATTCAGTGCCAAAGTACAAAGAATTTTCAGTGAAATCTGAAATTTCATCATTTTGTTCCCCTAAATCGCATTCACTGTCCTGAAATCAAGAATATATTTACCGCAATTTTCTGGTTTTCTATTCATTTTCCAGGGAAAAACGGAAATGAAATTGACAGTTCTCTTTGATTTTTCCACGAAATTCCGAATTTTCAATGACGACATTCCTCGAAATTTCAGTGCTAATTAAATTCGATAAAAATGTCCAGAAAGTGTACCGGAAATTTCAGATGAAAATTTTTAACACTGTGTGTCAGAAACATATCGTCCCCTTGATAAAAGACGGACGTATCTACATATGGAACTCATAACACTTACGCTTGTCTGTTATTAACGTGTCGATATCTATGAATTGAGCTCAGTCTAAGATCATCACAAAGAGGTACAATTGTACTTTCCACGGGAAAAAATATCCCATTTCATTAACAATTCATTGAGTCATTGACATTTCGAAAAATTCAAGTGTCCATTCTACCCCATCCTCCCCTAATAGACATCAGGGAAATTCGGGTCAATATATTCTTGAATTTTCAGTGAATTAAAAATTTAGTATTTGTGGTATTGAACATCCATGTTCTGATTAAAAATTTGCGTACGTCGAGGAATTCTCGTCATCCTGCTGCTCAAACATTTGGAATTTCATTAAATTTTTAGTAGAGTATAAAATTTCACAATTTTTTTTCCCCGAAGCGAATTCAATATCACTCTGCTAAAAACTAATAGTCGGCTGTTCCTGAAATGAACTTATTTTAATATAAAATTTTAACGTAAAATCAATAAATAACAATGGAATATTTGAAATCGAGGGTGTTCTCATGTCAATATAGAAATGTCAGATGAATGTGTTCGATACACCTTGAAGACGATAAGAAAATCATTGTTGAAATGTTCATGACGTAACGATGACGAATCGTACATACACAAATGGAGAAAAAAAAGTCGACAAGAAACGATAAGACAGAAAGACTGAAGTTCATGGACTTGATTTTACCACCTCGACTCGTTGGGGGCTCAAGTGAGCGTTTAAAATTTCATCAGAGCGTGAAATGATTTTTCTGCGCGTAACTATTAATTATTGCAACGATGATAAAAGGTGTTACGTGTTGAATGGGAATTAAATTGCATTTCAATGTTTATCTGGTTCATGATTTTCTCATGCTCTCGATTTGGTCGTCTCTCTCTCTCTCTCGCCGCGAGGGCACGACACGAATGCGGAACCTCTTTTATTTATTTTTTTCTTTCTTTTTATTTCTTTGTTTTGTGATATACCGTTACGGATCCTCGGCCACTCGGCACGCCACCCGCCTCTTGTCCGCTACTTCGGGTCGCGATGTGGATATGTTGAATTATTTCCTTTCCCTGTTGACGCTTTGATATGTTATCCCTTATAGGAAATTCTTTCCTATTTTGATCTATTGTTCCATTATGTTGATTCAAATTTTTCATTGGAATGATTGCTTTACATTTCTTGAACATTCCGTGACCTTGGAAAACATATTGAAAGGATTCTGTGTATGAGGAACAAGTGAAAGGAGGGGAACCCAGAAACTAAATGTGCATTGTTTCATGAATGAATCAGAAATTACTGGATTTAAGGGAATTTGTCAAAATATTTTTTTTTGTACCTGAAGAAATTTTCTGTAGAAAAGATTTTATACTATTTTTCTGTCAAACCAGTCCTTGAGATTTTCACAAATTAATATGGATGACTCCGTGTTATATCAAATTCCTGTTTTGATCTGTTGTTCTATGGTGTTAATTAAAATTTTTAATGGGATGATTGCCTTACATTTCTTGAACATTACGTGACCTTGGGGAACATATTGAAAGAATTCCGTGTATGACGAACAAGTGAAAGAATGGGAATCCAGACATTAAATGTACATTATTTCGTGAATAAATTCGAAATTAGTTGATTTAAGAGAATTTGTCAAAATCCTTTTTTTTGTAGCTTATGAAATTTTTTGTCAAAAAGATTTTATACCATTTTTCTCTCAGTCCTTTTTGAGATTTTCATAAATCAATATAGATGACACAGTGCTGTAGCAAATTTCTGTTTTGATCTATTTTTCTATGGTGTCGATTCCATTTCTTGAATATTTCATCAACTTGGGAATCATATTGAAAGGATTCTGTGTATGAGGAACAAGTGAACGGAGGGGAGTACAGAAATTACATATACATTATTTTGTGAATGAATTAGGAATTAGTGGGTTTAAGAGAATTTAAAAAGTCAAAGGACTTTTTTGCAGCTGACGAAATTTTCTATTTCTAAAAAATATCTTATGACATTTTTCTTTCAAACCTGTCCCTCTCAAGATATTCGCAAATTAATATAGATAATACACTGTTATAGGAAATACACCGTTATAGGCAATTCCTGTTTTGATCTATTATTCTGTAGTGTTAATGTAGACTTTCATTAGGATGATCGTTTTCTATTTTGTGAACATTTCATGAACGTGGGAAACAAACCTATTGAAAGGATTTTAGGTATTAGAAAGATGTTAAAGGAGGGGAGTCCAGAAATTACATGCACATCATTTTGTGAATAAATCAGCAATCAGCGGGTTTCAGGAAATTTGTCGAAAGATTTTTTTTTAGCTGTAAACATTTAGGAAAAAAACGATCTTATCATTTATCTCTCAAACCAGTCCCTCGTGAGATATTCGCAAATTAATGACACACCGTTATAAGAAATTCTCCCATGTTTTAATCTATTATTCTATTGTGGTGATGTAAATATATTCTTCGATTTCCAATTAATTGGAATTTCAGCGAAATTAGGTACTGACTGTTCCTATTTTGATCGAAAATTCCAGTGAGTTGAGAAATTCTCGTCTTCCAGTTGTTTAGAAATTTGAAACTACATTGAATTTTTAATTGAAAAATTTCATTATGTCCCTTCAAATATGATATATTGAGAACAAGCTGACCTCCAAATCTTCACGGCGGGCTTTTGAATGAATCTCTTCGAGACAGTTCTGCGAAAGACCCCCCCCCCCCCCC